AGAGAACATTTGACAATATGTCCATTTTATTATTCAGAGGAACTTTACCACATGATCCGTGGCCAATGTAACTGTGCAAAAAAAAGAAATTCATGCAAAGACTTTCCTTACCTCTCTGCAATGGGGCGAAGTTCTGAGGCAGTTAGAGATCAAACAGCAAATCCCACCCAGAAGGTGCAGTGGTGAAACTGGAGATTGAAATAACTCAAAGATTGAGACCCCAGTGATTATTTAAGAGCCAGAGTTTCTTTCTGGGAGCTGGTGTTAAACAAAATTCTTGGTGTTGTCAATGTTGACAGAGCCAACAAGCAGTGACGCTACAGTCAGAAAATAATATTTGCCCTGACTGCCATCTCTGAATACACTGGAAGGAATGATCAAGTGTTTTGGTGTGTCTCCCTGCTGGTGCCACTCTAGAAGTTACACTAAAGGGTTGTGCTTAATAAAAGGTAAGATGATCTGGTCATCTTCTCTTATTATTTTGGGACGTTGAGATGCTCTGATTGTAGATGGTAGGCAAGATGTGGTGGAGGTGATTTTGAGCAGCAAACATCTTGTCTCATTGCAACTCTTCTATATTGTTAGAGAAACAGGGTGAATCTGACTGAAAATTGATTTGGATTCAATGAAAAATGTCTGTCTGTAAATGTGTTAACAGATATAATGTGCTAATTCAGTTTTAATTATTACTTTTGGGAGCTGCAGCAAGGGTTCCAAGATTCCTGACATTTGATTGTAGGAATTTTCTGATGTTAGATCCTCGTTCTGCTCTAATCTGACAATCCAGAAGTTGCTAGGTAGTTGCACCAGTAGGCGTTATCATGCTCCAACTGCACTGCTGTCACTTGCTTTTTTCAGTTTTATGATTTCATGAGACCAAGCCTAGTTTATCGTCACTTGGTCATTGCCACAATCCACCTCATCTCTTTTTTTTTCTGTTTGTGCCTTTCTTGGAGCCAAAATCTTCTCCTTTGATTCAGTGACCGTTTGTTTATGTACTGGTGTTTAAGGGCACCGAGCAGTCTCAGTTGTAATGCTGTGCTTCAAAGAGGCTGGTGATCATGTGCGGGAGGTGAGTCGCACTTTCACTTCTATTTCGGGGCAAAGGCAAGAGGGCTCTTGTGGTGTGGTGGTAGTGTCCCTATGTCTGAGCCAGGAGACCTGGATTCAAGTCCCACCTGCTCAAGAGGTGTGTCATAGCATCCCTGCACAGGCCATTCGGAAATAGTTGGAACAAAGGCTCCTTTCCTAATGGCACTGTGGGGACACCTATGCAAATGGACCTGCAAGAGTTCAAATAGTGGGTCATCTCCACCATCTCGAGGGTGATTAGAGATGAGCGACAAGTTGTGCCAGCTGCAAACTGGGATAATGTTGGTAAATGCTTACCATTACTAGGAGTTTTATAGAGGGCTGTTGGTATTTTAGACAAAGAGCAAACTCAGTTGGAATGTGTTGATTGCAATCACGGACGTCCCCTATGCCATGATTCTCACGTTGCACGTGGAAATTCTATTCTGCGCTTTGTCGCAGTAGACTTTTTTTTATTCTCATGAAGGCTTTAGGGTCTGGATCCAGGGTGTTAGCAGCTCTACAATAATGTCACCTAAAACTGCAGACCAGCTCCAGGATGTCTGCAACCACCAGCAAATATCCAGGACTTCATCCAGGAGCTCATGTTACATCTTTAGACTGGAACCCCAGCAGGGTGTTCCGTGGGCTGGAGCATTTCAGCCAAGAAGTGAGGCTGGATAAGCTCGGGCTTTTTTCTTTGGAGCAAGATGGTGGAAGAGGGGCCTGCTGGAGGTGTCTAAGATTGTGAGGTGAATAGAAAGCAGCTGTGCCCCTCAGTCAAAGAGTCAAGAACAAAGGGGGCACACTTTGAAAGTGAAAGGCAGGAGGTTTATAGGGGATCTGAGGAAAATGCCCTCACTAAAATGTGGTGGGGTCTGGAATGCTCTACCTCAGAGGGTAGTTGTGGCAGGTAAGCTCACAGCCTTTGAAAAGTATTTGAAGTGTCATAATGTTCAGGGCTGTGGGCCTAGTGTGAGAAAGTGGGATTAGTGTGGGTAGTAGTGTATTTTTGTAGTACAGACACAATGGGCCAAATGGCTTCTTCTGCACTGAACAGAGATTCACAAATTTTTTCTCATAAAATGTGCCTTGAAGGTAAAGAGAGGATGCCCCTGACGTGGAATGAAGTTTTCTGGAGTGATGGATGATGACAATATGATACTGGTAAAGTAGAAAGAAATCAATGATATATGTATATATATGTATATACATATAGGGAGAGAGAGAGCGAGGATAACACAGAGAAAATGAAGAATCTTTGGATTGTACTAATTTTAAGTGAGTTGTAGAGGGGACAGGAGTAAAGTGGATGGGAGCAACCCAAAAAGACAAAGAGTAATAGGGATAGAGGAGTAGCAAAAGTGAGGCAATGTTGTAAAAGTTGGGGTGATTGGTTCATATATTAGTCTTCCGATATCCTTCAAGTCAGTTCAATTTTTATTTTAGGACGATATTGATAATCCTGGGGTAAGGATCACTTTAATGAGGCTTTTCAAGTATTGCATCTCGGTTAAGATCTCCCATTGATCTTGAATCTCATTATGATTTATTTTTCAAATGTGACATGCTGAAATAAGTCATTTTACTCAGAGTGTGTAGTTAAAGCATGTGAAATTTGCCAGCATATGGTGTGGTGGATGTGCAGCATGGATACAGTTAAAGAAACTTTGTGCACTTTTAAAACACTCTGTGGGAAATATAATGTTAGAAAGCGACATCTTCAATTGAAATGAGTTCACAAATGAGAGAATATAAAAAAGCAAAACCACAATCATTGGGATATTTCCTATGATATTGTGGGCAAACTTCCCCAAAACCACAGAACTTCCTGAATTCCTGTGAAGATTAGGGAAAGGCAGAGGAGGAACACCTGAGAGAAGAATGATGAAGTAAATTGAATCAGATTGAATCACAGGACCACACATTTTGCTCAGACTATGTAATAAGTAGTGTGTAAGAGTGACACTAAACTGGATAATCAGGGTACAAAATAACAGCCGTCATTAACAATATAATTGCTGAGCAACTGAAGTGAGGTCTCACTGTGATCCGTTGTATGGAATTACAGAGCAATGGTGCTGAACTCTGTTCCACATACACTGACCAAAAGTTAAAAATCTGACTGTTTTCTGACTTGTCTTTCAGGCTTTACACGTTTTTTAACTGCTTGTATCAAACTCTCCCCAATCAGGCTGTTAAATCTGCTATGAATGTGAAGTGAATCAGAGGAGGAAGTGGTGAAGTGGCGATGCCAATGGGCCCAGGCTAATGTTCTGGGGACATGGCTTCAAGTCCCACCACGGCTGATGGCAGCCAGACTCAATAAAATCTGGAGACAGAAAACTCATCCAGTGTGATGGGCAGCACAGTGGTTAGCACTGTTGCCTCACTGCACCAGGGACCCAGGTTCAGTTCCAGCCTCAGGAGACTGTGTCGAGTTTGTACATTCTCCCTGTGTCAGTGTGGGTTTCTTCCGGGTGCTCTGGTTTCCTCTCACAGTCCAAAGATGTGCAGGTTAGGGTGGATTGGCCATGCTAAATTGCCCATATTGTCCAGGGATGTGCAGGCTAGGGGGATTAGCCATGATAATTGTGGGTTTACAGGTATAGGCTGGGAGTTGTTCTTTGGAGGGTCAGTACAGACTTGATGGGCCAAATTGCCCTTCTGCACTGTAGGGATCCTATGAATAAGGGAAGAATTAGCCAAAAGCTTTTGACAAAATATGGCTGGTACTTTGTCAGTTGGATTAGGACACCATCTTGAAAAACTGTAATGGGATTGTTATTAGGGTGTCTGAGATTAAGTGAAATATATGGGCAGGCAGGTGGGATAAGTTTAGAATGGTATCATGGTCAGCACAGACATTTATTCCTGTGCTGTACTGTTCTATGTTCTATCTTATGTTGAAATAGCTCTTAGCCTGAAGTAAGGGGCAATTCCTGCTTGTTAACATGACTATTGTATCTTGTCGACCTTATACAAGATGGTTTGGAGAGCAGGACCTCTCTTATTTCCTGTTCAGATCGTAGCTGATGTACGCATTTGTGGAACTGCTATTTTCACTTTGTTACAATGGAGATGGAACCCAGAACATTCTGCTCTAATATTCATACCTCAGTCTGTGGCTTGTCAAGCTTGAATCCTGTAGGTGCAAAGGTTTGGAAAAGGTTGGAGCATGTCATTAAAAGAGGTTAGATTGTAGGACAACCGTTATCTCATTGAATGGCCGAACAGGCTCAGAGGGACCAAATGGCCTCCTCCTGTTCTTACATTCTAATTTTTAGCACTCTGCTGCACTGGTATATAAACTTTAAACCTGAAAACACCATGGTCTTTTCATGCCAGTAATTAGAATACACGCTAATTAGTGAGAACATGGACTGATATTTTCCACTCGGCTTTTGAGGTTTCTTGGCTCACAAGATCTTTGTTCATCTGCAACCAGTATTTCAAAGAAGAGGATTGATTGAACTGGCTGATATATTGTTGCTTTTGAATTGATCCTATTGAATGGTGGAGCAGGCCTGAGGGGCCAAACGTTCTTGTTTCCTGTTCCTATTTCTTGTGCTCTTATGGTCAAATGACAAATTGCCTGTTATCAGAAGGTGGACAAATCACCAACTTGTCTTCAAGCTATAAGGAGATAGATTTGGTTCTTAAAGCCAAAGGAATCAAAGGATATAAGGAGAAAATGGGAACAGGGCACTGAGTTGGATGATCCTAACTACTTTAGGGCTGATCTCTTTCACTTCGTTATGGCTTTTTGATTTATGTGAAAACTGCTTCAGAAGGAGATTTCGCTCAGCCCCATTGTGTGTTAACACAAAAAGTGAAGGTTGACTGGGATTCCCTGAGAATTGAGTGCATTCCCAAATCCGACAAAGAACGAAGGCAAAACACTCACTTTGTTCTTGTTTTGTTTGCAGGAGTTTGAGAATAATGAGGGAGAGGATTACACAGGAGAATTCTCACCCCACACCACTTCCTCGTCACAGAATGGACCCGAGGTTTATATCCTTCCACTCACAGAGGTCTCATTTCCCGTGTCAAACCAGCCATCTGCAAGACCAGGTAAACAGGCCCACATTTCTTTGTGAATAATGGCTATGACAATTAAGGTTCTCTAGGATGATTCAATCCAATAAAAATCTGGGATTAGGAGTCTAATAATGACCGTGAAACCATTGCTGATTGTCAGAAAAACCCATCTGGTTCACTAGTGTCCTTTAGAGAAGGAAATCTGCCATCCTTACCCGGTCTGGCCTACATGTGACTCCAGACCCACAATAATGTGATTGACTTCAACTGCCCCCTGTGCAATTAGAAATGGGCAATGAATATTGGCCTGGAGTGACATCCATGTTCTATGAATGAACAAAAAAAAAATTCCTAATGTGGAGGGATTGTAGTATGAGCAAAGGTTGGACAGTTTGGGACAGTACTCACTGGAGTTTATGAGAGGTGATCTCATTGAAATGTATAAGATTCTTAAGAGGCTTTACAGGGTAAAGGAGTGCCAATTTAAGGCTAAGCTGAGGAGAAATTTCTTCTCTTAGAGGGTTGTCAGTCTTTGGAATTCCTTGTCACAGAGAGCTGTGGGGGCAGAGTTGTCGTGGTATGTTTAAGGCTGAAATAGATAGATCCTTGACCAACAAGGGCGTCAAGGATTACAGGGGAGGATTGTCACATCAGCCATGATCCTATTGAATGGCTCGAGGGGCTGAATGGTCTCCTTGTGTTCCTATTTCTTATGATACGAGAAGGTGAACAAATGACCGACTTGTGTTCAAGCTATATGCAGATAGATTTGGCTCTTAGAGCTAAAGGAATCAAAGGAAATAGGGAGAAAATGGGAACAGGGGACTGATTTGGATGATCAGCTGTGATCATATTGAACATTGTAGGAGACTTGAAAGGCTGAATGGCCGACTCCTGCTCCATTTTTCCATGTTTATTTAAATCTTAATGCTGTCTGTGATTGGGCACTTACCAAGGACCAAAGCCTTGTTTGGGGATTCTAAAATAGAACAGTTTGCCCCACTATCCAGCACCCCGATTGCTTCCTCCTGCTGATAACTGGGTTTCGAGCTCACTGTCAACTCTCTCTCTCTTCCTGACCCAAACTAGCTGTGAGCAATCCAATAAAAGAGCCACCATTTCTCTTGAATTGAGACGCCGAAGTCACTGAGCCTATTACAACAGAAAGGCACAATCCCAGATGCCTGTTGGGTTGTGAAATACTGATCTAGTCAAGGAGAAATAACTGGTCACTATTCACGATCCACCATGCCTGTCAGGGTCATAGCCTGGTGAAAGTTACCTCCAAAATCTGCGAAAAGGTGCTGTCTTTGGAAACGAAATGAAGAGCAAATTGATTTATTTTTAAAAGGGCAAATTAGCAATTGGATTCCAAGAACTTTTGTTTCTCCCTCAATGCTTTTTGTTAATGATTAGAGAAATTTTCCTCCTGACATCTTTTATTTTGCTTTTACTGGGCCAACCAAACAAGCTAATACAACAGCTTGTCAGTCTAACAGAATGAAACTTCAGTGCAATGCTGTTGGACTGAGAACAAAAAAATGTTCTAGGGGGTTTTTGGCACCCAGGATCTTGCAGAACCTTATCTGCATCGATCCAGAATCGGCCACTCAGCCCTTCAAGCCTGTTCTACCATTCAATGGGATCATGGCTGATCTAATTAGTTCACATTCTTGCCTATCCTTGTTAGCTTTCACCCACTTGCTTTATGAAGAATCAATCTACCTCTGCTTTAAAAATCTTCAAGGCCTTTTGGGGAAGTGTCTTCCAAAGGCTCATGATCCTATCAGAAGGAGAAGAATATTTTTCCATTTGTTTTTGAAGGGCTTTTAGCCCCTAGAGAAATTTGGGGTGATTTTACAGAGCTATACATCACTGGGTGTAAATATCACAGTGTGGGTGGAGTTAGAACACTCTGGCAGAGCCTCGCTCGAAGACACACTGAAATGTGAGACTCTCTGAAAGACACGCAGAGTACACATGGACTTAAAGGCTCAAAGAAGATGATTCGTTCTTGCTAATGGTATATGTTCACGATGTACAATTGTGGTCAGTTTGAAGGTATAATAGATATAATGCTATTTTGATGTTCAAGCCTGAAGACTGTCTGTAACTTTGCTCTCTCCATGATGAGTCTGCCTCAAACCCAAACACAAAGTGTGGCATTGAGCACGTGGTATCCAAAGTGGGATTCACCACTGTAACTGTTGGAAAGAATTTTGCACCATTGGAACAGATGGTGGGAGGGTAAGCAGTGAGGATGATGCAGAGATGCTTCAATGTGTTTTGGGCAAGTTGAATGAGTGGGCAAATGCATGGCAGATGCAGTATAATAAATGTGAGGTTATCCACTTCGGTAGCAAAAACAGGAAGGCGGATTATTATCTGAATAGCTATAGATTGGGAAAATGACGGTGCAATGAGATGTGGGTGTCCTTGTACACCAGTCACTGAAAGTTAAATTTCAGGTGCAACTGTTGGTCATGAAGGCAGGTAGTATATTGGTCTTCATAGTGGGAGGATTCCATTCAGAAGTAGGGATATCTTGCTGCAATTATACAGGGCCTTGGTGAGACCACACCCGGAGTATTGTGTGCAGTTTTGGTCTTCTTATCTGAGAAAGGATGCTATGGCTATAGAGACAGTGCAACTGATTCCTGGGATGGCAGGGCTGACATATGAAGCCTAACTGGATTGATTAGGACTATACTCACTACAGTTTAGGAGAATGAGGGGGATCTCATAGAAATCTGTAAACTTAAACAAGACTAGCCAGGGCAAATGCAGAAAGGATGTCCCTGATGACCAGGAATCTAGAACCAGGGGTCACAGTCTTAGGGTTTTAGGACTGAAATGAGGAGAAATTTCATCACTCAGAGAGTGGTAAGCCTTTGGAATTCTCTGTCACAGAAAGTGGTTGAGGCTAAAACATTGAATGTTTTCAGGGAGGAGTTGGATATCGTTCTTAAGGCTAAAAGGTTCAAAGGATGTGGAGAGAATCAGATCCTAGGAAATGAGGCAGACCAAGTGGAAAACATCGAGTGGTAAAGCATTTGGGGAATAGTGATCATAATACAGTAGGGTTCAATATTAAGTTGGAAAAGGATTTTAAAAAAGTCTAAAACTAAGATTCCAGATTGAAAAAGGACAGATTTTAGGAGTCTAACATTTCAATTGGAGTAGGTTGCTTAGAAATGCATTTCAGTGAATGAAACAGGGGATGAAAAATGGGAGACTTTCAAAAGAGAGATGAATAGAATGCAGGCTAGGTACATACCCATGAGAAATAAATATGGGGTATCCAATGCTAGTGTAGACTGGATGATTGAGCATATTGATGAGAAAAAAAGGAAGATAAAGTGGGCATATGATGCATACCTGAATCATAATAGCACGACCATAATAATCAGGAAGACTATCTCAAATGCAAGAGAGGCTAAGGCTGGAATAAGGGAGGCTAAGAGGAAGCATGAGAGAAAGGATGGCAGACTGTGCTAAAACAAATAGTAAAATGTTCTTCAAATCTATTAACAGGAGAAGATGATAGATTCTCTGAACCAGGATTCTCGGAACTGCTGTAGTAGCTTCTTGTATGCATTGCTGTGGAAGGATAGAGTGGGGCCCAGAAGGAACAAGCAAGTTAGGCTGCTCACTGGAGCTAAGGACATAGCAGAGGTACTAAATGAGTACTTTGCTTCTGTCTTTACCAAATTAGAAAATGGTGACAATGGCCCAGTTGAAAATATGGGTGTTCAGTAACTGAGCAGTATAGTGATAGATAAAAAAGAGGTCCTAAAAAGACTGGCAGCACTCAAGGTAGAGAGGGGATGCATCCGAGATTGCTGAGATAGGTAAGGGAGAAGACTATGGAACCGTTGGCAGAAATTTTCCAAGCTTCTCTGAACATCGGATAAGCCCCAGGGGACTGGAGGATCGCAAATGTGAGACTGTTGTTTAAGAATGGGGCAAAAGATAGCCCGGGAAACTACAGACCTGTCAGCTTGACATCAAGAGTGGGAAAAGTGATGGAGGCCATAACACAGGATAAGATAAATATACACTTAGAGAAAGATAAGTTAATACTAGACAGTAAACACGGCTTTGTCAAGGGCAGGTCATGTCTGACAAATTTATTTGGGTTCTTTGATGAGGTGACATAGGTAGTGGATGAGGTTAGTGCTGTGAATCTGTACATTTTGACTTTCAGAAAGCATTTGATCCAGTCTAACATAGCAGGTTGCTTAGCAAATTGAAATGCCTGGGATTGATGGGTCCTTGGCAGCATGGATTAGAAGTTGCGAAAAGAAAAGAAACAGAAGGAAGGCAGAGATGGGCATTTCTCAGACTGGAGATGAATTGAAAATGGTGTTCTACAGGGATCGGGGTGTTGGGACCCGTGCTTTTTCTGATTTATTAAAACAATTTGAAGACGGGTGTTGAGGGCAAAGTCTCCAAATTTGCAGATGATACTAAGCTAGGGATAATAGTCAATTGAGTGGATGGTACTGAACAACTTCAGAGGGACATCGACAAGATGGCCAAATGGGCAGGTACCTGGCAGATAAGTTTCAATGCAGAGAAATGTGAGGTAATGCATTTTGGTAGAAGAAACATGGAGGGACAATATAGGCCCAATGGTACAACTTTGAGGGTAGAACAGGAGCAGAGGCACCTTGGGTCCATGATTCTCTAAAGGTGGCTAGACAAGTTGAAACAGTTCTTAAGAAGGCTTATAGGATTCTTGGGTTTATAAATAGAAGTATAATGTATAAAAGCGAGGAAGTAATGCCACGCCTCTACCACATCTGTGGTATTGTGTTCAATTCTGGGCACCTAATTTAAGGAAGGATGTTAAAGCCCTGGAGAGAGTACAAAGGAGATTTACTGGAATGATACCAGGAATGAGGGATTTTAGACATAAGGAAAGATTAGCAAAATTGGGCTTATTCTCCTTGGAGCAGAGAAGATTCGGAGGTGACCACAGTGAGGTGTTCAAAATAATGAACACTTTTGACAGGGTAAAGAAAGATATT